TGTGTGTGTAAAATCATCATCCTTATCTTCACCTATCTCACCTCATATGGAACCTGAGCCTGTAGACATTTCTTCCTTAAACTTTCAGCTACTTCAGCTCTGAGATATTATCCACGTAGCTAAAATTTTCAAAATCAAACAAAACAGAAAATATGCCTAAATGTGCAGTCTTTCCTAAAGACTTCTGCCATGAGCTTGACTTCAGGCAGAAAAGACCTTATTCCTAGGATCTAAAGAAGCAAGGTTTTCACTGGAATATCATTCTTGTTCATTTGTTAATGCTACATGTATTGGAGAGGAATCTGAATTTCCTCTTGCATCAGCTTACCAAGCATCCCAAACTCTTGCTCTCTAGTAAATCAGTTTGATACTGGAAACATCTCTAGAAGACCCACACCCTCTCTACAATGGTGGTTCCAAGCTTTCAGCTGAAGCAACACCAAAACTGGCTCAGAGTCCTCTCAGGACCTGCAAGTTAGATAACATTCTCTGCTGCCTACTCCACATAACCTGATTACAATTTGTGATTCTATTCACAGTCAATCACAGTCAAAAACTGGTATTTGACCCATCTACTTAAAATGTATATATTCCAGTAATTCCAACAAAAAAGCAAATGACTATCAGCCTTCCTGCTAAACATCTTTAAAGCATTCTTTTCTGGGTATTTGTCTATCAGTTTCAAGGATATTTGCTGGATAGAAAAGTTTCCCCGCAATTTCAACATATGTTTGACTCTTGGCAATAGTCTTTAACTAGTTTTTCTGGTCACTCTGGACTTACTTGCTGCTACCATATCTACTAGTTGGGTGACCACTGGGGTGTCTATTATGTGAACAGTGAAAGATATGCTGAGAGCTTGCATCCCCCAAATAATATCTCAGGTAGCCATGTTTTTACAGCATGATAGCTTCTTCTGCATTTTAAAAAAATGGGTAAAGTAAGAGAGCTTGAAGATATGAACTTTTGTGCTATTCAGTTTCTTCTGTCTTATCTATTTTTAAAGATTGTTTTTAATTTCAAAATCAAGGGGAAGCTATCATGCTGCAAAAACAAAATCCAGTTTTAAACAAATGTAATGCCCAACAATGTCTTTACATTCCACATTGTTTTGGTGTCTGCAGCATCTTGCTTTTTTTCCTGTTATTATATCAATGTTTTGTGATTAAAACAACTCATCATGGCAAATGTTTTATGAGAACGATCATAAAATAGTTCAAAATTCTAAATAATGGCTCTATATCCAAAAATAAAGGGGGATTCGTATGCCCTGGGAATTGTTAACAGTTAGTTATATCTATTTCTACAAACATACATTGTTGGTGCTTCTCAAAGTTTCAAGTCATAGTTGCTCCATTTTTTTTAACCATTCTTCAAGTTCATTCACTGTAGTTTCCCACAGCGTTGAGGAATCTGATATGTCTCTCTTTCTTTACGATAACAATTGCTCAACCAAAGTTCATGAGGAGCCCTGAAGAGCTTACTCAAGAACTTCCATGGAAGCCTGACTAGGGCCTTCAGTAAAACAACTCAGTTTCCTATTGAGTCCCATCAATGCTCATTTTTGATATTCACAATGTTGTATTCCTGACGTTCTCTAGCTAAATAATAATAATTTTAAAAAATAAAGATCTAGGGAAAGCAGCAGGCTCTGTTAGATTTTAGGAACCCCAACAATAGCCATGGATATGTTTCTGTGCTACCTGTCTTACTGGATTTGTCTATTTCATTTGAAATATTTTTATCCGCTTTAACTCCTACAAGTTCTAGAAGGCTGCAAAAAATATGTAGTAAATCTGGTCTTAAAGAATTGGATTCAGCCTATCTTTCTATCCTTTCAGGAAACCTTTTGGATTAGGCAGTTCAGGTTGACTTTTCTCCATTCTTATTGTTTTCCCAAATGTATCTTAAAAGAAGAATGGTTGAGATCCAATTTTTATTACCCCTCTTGAACACTACTGCCTACACAAGGCAGAGTGAATTTCATAAAGTTAACTAAGCGCGTGATGTCTTAAGCCCAGAATCTTCTGCCCATGGCATTTGGAATATGCTCCCACACCACCTCCATCACAATTGCTGAGATGTCCCTGCAAGTAAAAGATTATGATTACATTTCTGACACTGCTAGGATGAATAGAAAAGCCATGCTTCCAAATGGTTAGTTTCCAGATGTGCCAACACATGGTGGCCAACCTATGGCACATGTGTCAGAGGTGGCACTCAGAGCCCCCTCTGTGGGCATGCATGCTGTTGCCCCAGCCCTGCCTCCCCCACAACCCCCTCACCAGCAGCCTGCCTGGAGGAGAGGCTCCCCCAGGCGCAGCCTACACAGAGCAGCGCAGCCAAGCACATGGCAGCTGGGCAGCAGGGGCAAGACTCCGCCCTCACGCCCCATCATGTGCAGATGATGCTGTGGGGTGCAGGTGGAGGGCGTGGCCGCCATGGGGCTGCAAGGCTGCCTGGGCGATCTATGGTGAGTGGCCCTGTGGGTGGGAAGAGTGGGGGTGGAGCGGGGGCAGAGCAGGGGCGGGCTTGTTTTGGGGCACTCGGTCTCTAAAAGGTTCGCCATCACTGTGCTAACACCTCAAATTCTATTTGGAATTTCTGGGATTTGTAGACCAATAGATCTATATAGCATCAGGTTAAGGACATCAAGTGCATGATTATTCAAATCACCATGCTTCCATATCTTTTTTCATAGATTCCATGTAGACCCCCATATACCATATGGCATATGCTAAAATATTTTATGCGGAGTCTGAAAAATATCATCCTGGAATGATAATTTTGAGGAAGAAAAGAATGTTTCTGGATCTACATTTACAAAATCCATAGTCCTCAACCATAGCTGCTTAAGCAAAAAAAAATAAAAATTATTTGGTGAAGTTCAAAAAGATATTTTATTAATATTATACAGAAATGTTCTGTTTGCTACCAAAGGAAAAAGGAATCTCAAGCAAAGTTTCCATCTCTATGAAATGATTTTTTTAAAATTTCCCTAAGATCTAAAAAAAGAAAAAAGTTTTTTTTAATTTAAAATAAGTTTCATACAAAGCCATATATACATTCCCCTCACCCTACTCTCCTTATTTATTATACCAGGCAACATAAATATGAACCCTGACACAGTACAGCATAAAAAGTGGTGGCGAACCTATGGCACACGTGCCAGAGGCGACATTCAGAGCCCTCTCTGTGGGCACATCTGCCGTGCCCCGGAGATGGCAAGGGACTGGCCCCCACCACCCTGGCCCCGCCCACCTAGTCTGCCATGACCACCGCAGCCATGCCCACCCAGCACACCGTGATAAATAAGTGGGTTTTGGGTTGCAGTTTGGGCACTGGGTCTCTAAAAGGTTTGCTATCACTGGCATAAGAGATTGCTTATTCAAATTGTAGCTCTTCTTCTTCTTCTTCTTCTTCTTCTTCTTCTTCTTCTTCTTCTTCTTCTTCTTCTTCTTCTTCTTCTTCTTCTTCTTCTTCTTCTTCTTCTTCTTCTTCTTCTTCTTCTTCTTCTTCTTCTTCTTCTTCTTCTTCTTCTTCTTCTTCTTCTTCTTCTTCTTCTTCTTCTTCTTCTTCTTCTTCTTTTTTTAAAAAAACTCCACACAGCTTTATTTAAAAACTATCCAAGATGGATTTGTTCTGGCATTTGCTTTAAAAAACAAACTTTCCTCTTTGACAATACCTTAAAATGACTTTAGAGCAACACACAACTTTTACTTTATTTTTAAAAAATAACTTAAATTATTCTGAAGTATTTTAAATATCTCCCTAACTTTTAAATAAAATATTTCTCCTGCATCATTAAAAAAAAACCCTAAATGAAGGTCAGTTTTTTAACTGAAATCCAATGCGTGTCTTATTTTTATTCTTTGGAATATTTCTAAATTCCAACCTGAAGTAACTCTTGTTTGAAGCTGGAATAAGCAGAGACCAAGACAGCAAAGAAGCTTTGGCGATATTCTCTCCCCCCCCCCCCCCCGCATCATGTTGTCAGATTTTTGTGTTTGACCAAAGCAAAAATCAGGATTCGTTCAGTGCACTCCTCATACTTGCACGAAAACAAATTCCATTGTATCAATGGGCTCAAATTCAAGAAATGAAGTAATGAATATGTAGCCTTACTCTATTGTATACCTGGAGTTACCTATGATGATGACACTGACACTTTCCCCCCCCCTCTTCATGGCCTTTCCATTCCTTGATACCTTTGTCAACCTATACTTGGCCTGGAGCAGAGAATCCATATCTTTGATGTCCCAATTCTATGTATAATTAGCACTTCCACAATGTAACTTATCAGTTGAATGAAGAGCATCAAAATGGTTCACATATTAGCCTAAGTCGTATTTACACAATTGTGCTAAGGTTTATGCTTTGGTTGATTTTAACTTAGATTGCCATACAAACCCAGCTCTGGTAGTTTGTTATTTACTATCATTTACTATTTTGCATGAATCCATGATGGTTAATTGGGCAAAGCATGGTTACACCATGTATTTTACCTTGTGTGACCCCATACAGGTAGTCCTCGACTTATAACCTTTTGTTTAGTGATTATACAAAGTTACAACGGCATAGAAAAAAGGGACTTATAACTGTTTTTCACACAATCATCGCATTGGTTGTGTGATCAAAATTCAGCCATTTGGCAGCTGACTCATATTGATGATATGAGTGTCCTTGGGTCATGTGATCACTTTTTGCGACCTTCTGACAAAAAAAAGTCAATGGGGACTTTTTCACCTTACAACTGTGTTAGATGTTACTAACTAAATAAGTGCAGTAATTCACTTAACAGCTATGGCAAGAAAGTTCTTAAAATGGGGCAAAGCTCACTTAAAAACTATTACTTAGTAACAGAAATTTTGTGCTCAGTTGTGCTGAAGGACTATCTGCACTGTAATAGTCTGTAATAGCTGGCTCAGGAATTCTGGGAGTTGAAGTCCACGAGTCATAAAAGAGCCAAGGTTGCCTGCCCCTGGCCTAGGCTCTGGTTTAGCATGTTGAATGAAGCCAGGAATTCTGGTTTGTTAACCATGAATTGTGATTTAATGTTAAGTAAATCAGGCTACTAGAGTTTATTAAAAAAGAACAATCGTCAAAAAAACCCGTTGGTTTAACAGTATGTGTTGAGAATTATAAAGGAGATCAGATTTTTTTTGTGTTCTCTTGTGTATTAGAATTCTTCCTTTGTTTTTATGGTATGAAGTATCTGCCCAAACACTCAAGACAAGACTATTAACTAGGGCTAGTATATAACTGAGATCACTTTTTTCTTTTCCATCACCAGATGAAAAAACAGTACAAAGGTTTTTTTTCTTTTTCTTTTTAATCTGCAATAAATCCCATAGAGTGCATTCAGTATAAATCCAAAATAAACATTGGTAAGGCCAATATAGCTTTTTTTCTGGGTTCCTTCACCCTTTTTCTGTGCTAGCCAGTAGCACTACTGTAAATTAACACTACATACTGACCAGTTTTGTATAACATCTACCTGACTATGAAGTGACTTTAATCCTAAAGTGATTACAAAATCTATCACATTAATAGTTGTTGACATCTACCTTTCCCTTTCATTATGTAGAACGTTGCTATAATTTCTAGTAGGACAGTATTTCCAAGGTGGTGTGTAAAAATGAGAAAGAGTTGGATATCTTACATTGTTCCCATTCCCAACTGCATGGGTAACTAATAACTCAAGCCTATTCCTGTCATAAGCATCAATAATTGATTGGTATTTGCAGGCATACCAATCTTTCAAAAGACACATGAAGTTGATACCTCTCAAAACCACTCTGCTTGGGGAGGTCATCAACAAATAAAACAAAATAAAACCAAAAGAAAAGAAGGATTTTTTTCTCCTTTGCCATGCAGCTCTTTGCTCTTCTCTAACCATGCTGAGAGCCATCCAACCATGTCTTGTAAACAAAGCTGATGGTGGAGATTGGGAACAATTAGCCCAGAGATAAATCATCCAGGAAGTGGGTAACAGAGTCTTTGATGAAACCGATTTGATTGAGATACAACACGGGCTGCAAGATGTTTCTCTCCCTTTCACATTTCTTTACCCCCCCACTCCATGGTCTCCCCTAATGTCTTAGCCCTGCTGCAGTTCACTTGTTCCTGAGATGAGATGGAATGTGTGCGTGCCCTGTGAAACATATCAAAGAGTTTTAACTTGTTGCCTTCTGTTTGCTTCTCCCTCTCTGTCTCCCTCTCCCTCATTCCTTTTTTCCTGCTCCACCTGTTTCATTGAGGAGGGAAAGGAGGTTAATAAACCGCTCCAGGATTGGGAGGAGGCCCTGGAGATGGGTGATGCATAGAGCCAGAAGTGGGCGGAGGTCCCTGTTGTTGTATGTGAGGCCCGTTCAGATTCTGATGATGGAACCAAGAATTGTGATCTTCCAGGTAGCTTGGGGGAGAGTTATAAGAGAGTGGCTGGGGGATTTGGCTCCTGCTGGCTGGGTTATTATGAGTGTTACTGTCCCAGAGGGGAGGAGATGGTGGAGAATTGCAAGCCATGGAGTCACTGTTATTTGGGCTGTGTTCCAAGGGGACCTCTCCATTTTTGTACAATTTCTTAAATTTAGATCTTCGATTCTGGAACCAAATTTTCACCTGAAAGAGAGAAAATTATTATTATTATCTACAAATTATTTTAATTTGTAGAATAGACTGCATTTATTCTATCCTATTCTAAGCCAGTCCTTTCCCACCAAAGATAAACCTCTGCATTTCCTCCATCAACACAAGGAAAAGTATTATTTGTTCAGTTCAAGAAGAGCTCTGTAGACTTTTCATGAAACAGGTAACAGGCTCAAATTCTGGTATTTTCAGATATAACAACAACAATGACGACAACGATGACGATGATGATGATGTTGGAAGGGACCTTGGAGGTCATCTAGTCCTCTGGCAGGAAACCCTATACCATTTCAGACAAATGGCTGTCCAGTCTCTTCTTAAAAACTTCCAGTATTGGAGCATTCACCACTTCTGGAGGCAGGTTGTTCCACTGATTAATTGTTTTAATTGTCAGGAAGTTTCTCCTTAGTTCTAGTTCTTAGTTCTAGGAAAGACTGGATTAGATAGTTCATAGATCAGATTCAGAATATGGATTCACAGATTGCACTAAACCATGAACTACAATTATGCCTGACTGTAGAGAGCATGCTGGCAACACTTTGTTTTGTTTAGTTTTGACTTAGCATAAATAGTGAATCTAAGTACTATTCCTCAATCTAATCCTAAAATGCAGAAAGTTTGTGAGATTAAATCACAGGCATAAGCTGATCTCTGCTCTAAACTCCTTCCAGGAATGTGTAGAAGAAAATAAGCCTATCCCCCATTCCTTTTGAAAAGTGGAACTACATCTTAATTTCTAAAATGGTCTACCAACCGATGTAATAAAAGAAGCAGGGAATTGTGGGTCATTGCAAAAAAGTCAGGTGATAAAAGCTTGCTCAAAAGGTTTTACAAGTCTTTCAAGGATGCTAAACCTTGGTATTGGGAAGACTGCTATGATGAAACTTAGGGCAGGGCTGGAATAATGGCCTAGCTGACTGGAGATCTTCCCAATTCCATTGTAAAGTTGTGTGGCTCCATCTACATATCACTCTAGAGAAAGAGTATAAGTAAAACAAAAGAAAGTGGGTGGCGGGTAGGAAGAAAGAATAAAGGATCAAAGATAGTAGAGACAGAAACTCTTCCTAATCAGAACAAGGAAGCAGGAAGACTTGGAAACAAAGTCTGTTTTGTTTAACTGAGAAACACCCATAGTTCTTCTGGAGACACGGGAAATCTCTCCGCAGTTGGTAATCAATGGAAGAACCTGACTGGCTCAAGATTGACTCAGCCTTCCATCCTTCCAAATGAGGACCCAAACAGTTGGGGGCAATATGCTGACTCTGTAGCTGCTTGGAGAGGGCTGTAAAAGCACTGTGAAGTGGCATATAAGTGCTATTGCTATGGAATTGGCAAGTTTTTATTTTGAGCAGTCAATTAAATTGCAGCTATACTGACTGGCTGATAATTCCTTAACCTGCAACAGGATAGGATTGTGAACTCACAAGAACGGATCAGATGATTTAATCTGAAATAAACCAAAATCCTCACAATTTGTTAATAACTGAGGAACAATATCCAGTCTCATACTTTTTATATGTGTGGACTTCAACTATCAAAACCCAAACAAAAGGTAAAATGCATTTCTTGACCTTTTTAGTTCAAGTAAAGTGCATCAAATCTACTTCTGCTCAAACTGGAAAGGTACAATGTGTCAGAATATTTTTCTAGTAAACGAACTGCAATTAATACATGATTCTTCCACTAGTGTTCCATTTTAGAGGGTGAAAAATATACAAAGGGAGGAACTACGCTAAACCATATGAGTGTATGCAAGCATGCATGCATGCATGTGAGATAGTAAAAAAAAAACCAGAAGGGAAAATACTAAATCAGAAGTGGAAGGACAACTGATAGACTCAGAGATATCATTGAAATTTATAAGATTAAAGAAAGAGCTCCCCCTCATGTCCAAAGAAAACTACATTCTGGGTATTTCTTTCATTTTCTAAAATGTGACCTTAGAAAAGTTCCTACCAAATTAGGATGGAAGTGATGAGACTTCCATAGTATATATTGATATATTTTAATTAAGACACGTCAAAAACTCGCAGCCTGTGCATCTTGGCAATACTTGCAGAAAAACACTACTGGCAGTATAAAATTTGGGCAGGGAAAACAAGAAATATTTGGCCAGTGAACTACATATTAATTTGCAAAATATGAAATTAATGCACTCTTCACTGTAGGTCTACATTATGATTTAGATTATACACATTCATGGGACTTTTGCTTTTGTTGGAAAAAAGCCAATCTATTGGGCGAGGGTCAGTTCAATGACAAAAATTTCTGATTCCCAATAATTTAACAATAGAAGTAATAAAATGTCTAACATAAATTTAGTACAGAAATGAAAATTTAAAGAAACTAAAATTGGGGGTGGGTGACGGGTGGAAAATATATAAAAAGACAATAAACTTCATACAGTTCTGACCTCAGAACAGATTTTCAGATTCATAATTATTTAATTATGAGTATTTGAAGCTAGCAAACACTCTGACTGATGGAGTTAGGGGAGTTCTGTTAAAATGAATCCTTTGGTGCCTTTCCAAAAGTCAGCTGGACTTTCTTGGTTTATTTGCTTCTCATCCAGAACTGAAGAAGCTTCTTGGATGAGAAGCGAAACATTTTCAAGAATAAATCAAGGAAGTCCAGTTGTCTTTTGGAAAAGCATCTTTGGGACAACCATGACCTGCATGATTGAGAATCTCTATAAATATTAAAATGAATATTCCACAAGACTAAAGTTGACTTTTTTTTTTACTCCAAGTTCAGCAAACCACTAGAGAAGCTTATGACACCAAAGTGAGGGACTACATCTCATTTGTCATAGATGCTGTAAGTATATTCTAATACCTCTGGAGGATGTTGGATTATGGAATTCACACTAGACAATGTATTTAGGCAAATAGTAGATATAGTACATTTAATTCAGCATTGTGTAAGACGATTCAAGCAAGCTAAACATGGAAAAAATGCAATTTTTCTCTGGTGGTCACCAGAAGAGGAGAGGAAATTCTTGCTTTGACAATCACATGGCTATCTCATATTCAACAGGAACAAAACCAGTCCCGTATGGGAAAAACTTCAGATGATTCAGACAAATGAGCAAAGCATCAGGCCACCTCCTGCCTCCCCCCCAAAAAAAAGTCTAGAAAAAAGAACTTGGGTCAGTGACCACGGTGACCCTCGGGGAAAATTCCTTCCTGACTGTCATGGGGCAGTTTGTGTTTGTAGGAACAAAAACTCATCTGTACACCCCGAGAGTATTTTGTTGGGTACAATTTTCGATGTGTCAGGTTGCCACCACTATGCTATGCTCTTGACCTATCAGAATCCGGAAGCACGCCAACTTGCTCCCTTAATTTAGATCAAAGCAATTAAGCAGCCTTGTTGTCCTCAGGGTGCTTGGCTGGCTCCACATTCCAGTCCAGCTTCTTAACCAGCCCCTCATGACCTGCTTAGGAGGGAAGGCTTGTGGGAGAGGATGACACACAAGACAGCTTCATGTGTGAATGTGGGAGCTGAAACAGAGGAAGTTAACTCTGTTGGGTGTGTGCGTATATGTATCACCAATCACACATGATGTTTGGTTTACAGCTGTTTAAGAATATTGTGTTGAGCATAGTGAGTGAGCATTTGACAAAAGCCTGGAATATTTTAATAGGAGTCCAAAGACTTTAGTTTTCCTCACATTCATTAAGCGATAACTTCTCCACAGAACTAAAGCTAGGTTTGCCTAAAATCCAAGCTTATGATAAATGATACCTTTCTACTTTGGGAACCACCCTCCCATTTTCTGAATTGTGATTGAGAAAAGAAAAACTCATTCTCACAAATGGATTTACCTGCTGACACCTTCAACCTGCTGAGGTCTCACTAACACAATTTATGTGCAATTAATTAGTTAAATTTGTCTAATATGAAACAGATCCCAGTCTCATTCTTTCTCGGTTGCTTTTCTCCTCCTATTCTGGAAATTTTTTGAAAAGCAAGTTATATCAGGATGAAGGTGGTACATTTCTCATATTTTACACCCTCTGTAACCTATTTCTCAAAGAATGTACTCAGGACAATGAAAAAAAAACCTGCTTTAACTCTGGCTATATTTGTAGGAGAGAGGGGGAGGAGGGAGGGAGGGGGGAAATCAGAAAAGAAATAGTCATTTGCACCATCCTATTAACATAACCTAAATATGTTGTGATCTTTCAATCAATCTTCTGCAAATGCCAACCACTGCCAAATTAAACTATACCAGCAGGAACTTCTGTAGGAGAGAGAATTCCTTTGGTTTTTATAAGAGTCATTCAGAAGACTTCGCTTTTTTTTTTCTTTTTGGTGGACCTACCTACCAGTTTATCAATACTGTGTCTTAAAATGATGCCCTGAGCATTTCTTATGTCATTCTATGATTCCAACCAACCCTGATGTTGACCATGATGGCTACTACTAATGTGAGAAAGTCAAATGAATAGTACAAAAACCCTGAACTCTGAACTAAAAGGAACTTTCCATCATTTAAAATGAAACACTAAATCTTATTTCCTAATCCTCTATTTAAGTTGATGTTTTTTAACTTGGCAACTTTTAAGATGTGCAGACTTTGCTGGCTGGGGGATTCTGCTTGGCTGCAGACCATGTTGGCTGGAAATTCTAGGAGTTGAAGTCCACACATCTGAAAATTGCCAAGGTTGAGAAACACTGGCTTAAAAGAGTGCTTTGGGCACTTATAAAATGATAGAAATGTATTGTGGGTACTTTCCCCAAAAGTTGCAATCTTAAAAGTTTGAGAAACATTGATTTAAAGGAAGGCTATAGTCCTCTTCATACTTACTTGGGAACAAGGCAGTGGTGGGATTCAGCCAGTTCCCACCACTTCGACAGAACCAGTAGCTAATTTTTTGTTGCCCAGGCCCAGAATGGACTTCCGGAAGCGGCATCCACACAGAGAACCGATTGTTCACATATTTGAATCCCACCACTGGAACAAGGCTCACTGAACATAGTGAATGAGATCCAGATCAAATCATGTTTAGAATAGATCCATTATAATAAATGGACTTCAAATAAGTTGTGATTAATCTAAATCCTATTCCATTCAAAAGATGCGTTGTTCATGACTATGTCCAGATCCAGCTAATGATTATTTCAATCCAGTAAGGCAGTGCAAAGTACATTATTATCTAATGTAATTCCAAGCAAACATATCCAGGACTCAGAAAAGGACAGACATCTAATATTTTACTTTGAGGATATTTGCTAGATAGCTATGGAATTAAATATAAATACACATATTACTCATATGGATTTCTTTTTATAGAAGTGTGTTAAATATTTAAAATCTAAGATGACCGTCTAATTCAAGTTATTTGAGAACAATCTGCAAAAAATGAATGGTGAAAAGGGCATTCTTGAGATAGGTGATACTTTTCATATAATTTTATAGATTCTAAGACTCGGCTCTAAAGAATACAGTGAAGATAGGCTCAGATTAGGTTTTTTTAAAAAAATATTTTAATTGTATTATAACTTTTATGTTATTATTGAATGACATTCTGATTAAAAGTTAAACCCTGACAATCAAAAAGTATATTTTACCCTGATTTCATCCCTGCCTAAGGAGTCACTCTTTGGCAATCCAGCGTTATGTATTATTTTTCTATTTCTTTCATGTAGGCATATCTAGGCAGCATTAAACTGGATGACTACTAGATGGCAGTAAAGCTTCTTGTATCTCGTTGCTGCTCTCTTATGGTTGCCTGAATTTTTGCAGGCAAGATATGGTATGTCTAGCCTCATATATATTTATTCATTTATTAAAGGGAATTTTCAGAGCCATTTAGTTTTAGCCTTGTACTGTACTAAGCTCCTAAACTTGTGATCCTGTTTCACTTTGGGGCCATACAACTTCATTTACAGCATCAAGGGCTACAGATGAAAATATAAGAGTTTGTTTGGGGATGGTGTATGTTTGTTGTTCCTTCTGTTTTTCCTGTTTTTGTTTCATATTGTTTTTGCTTCATCTTGAATTAGTTGACTGAATATTAGGATAAATGAGAGGGGACCATTAATTTTCTCTGGATTGCAAATTGCCTATATAGTAGAGACAAGTAGCTTGGGCTCTTACAACATGTCAGGCTAAAATAAAATTGTCAATGTAGTCGTGTAAAATTAATCAGTTCAATTAGTTCATAGTTCAGTGTATCCTTGAATAAAGCCAAAGGGAACAGTGAAAGATGCATCTTGCTTTATTATCCATTGGATGTAGCAAGAAGGTATTTATGTATTTTAAAAACATTTATAATTATAGTGAAAACTTGGGTGCCTACTGGCTAGGTTTATGTATGCTTCAGTATTCAATTAATCCATTTTCTGAGTTCTCACAATACACTGGCATATAAATTAACCAAATGAATACACAGCTAAGTCACCAATTAAAACTTTTTTTAAAAAAAACAAAACCCCACCCTCAGGTTAAGCCAGCCACTGTTTAGTATGTGGGAACCCAGCCCCTGAGGTCTTGCTTTGGAAAATTAGATAGTTTTCTTTCCACTACTTTTCTGATAAAAAAAATGCTATTCCCAATTCTGCCTACATTCCCCAAATAGAGATATCACTGAAAGTAAGAATTACTTATTTTTAGGTTTATTCCTGGGCAATGTCTATATAATCACAAATGAAGTTAGTATTCTTTTCTGAATGGTTTCATGTAGTATGAAAAGTAGTATTTCTATTTTGGCTTTAGGACTGTTTTACTTTAGTGCGACTATTAAGATTTTTTCTAAGGAAAGATGAATATCGAATGTTACTTTAAAAAGACAGTGTTCTTTTCTCTATATATATTACCTTATTGTTTTAGCTCTTATCAAGCAAAATGAAGAACTTTAGAAATATTTTCAGTCTGACAGATCTTATCCATGCTTGTTTGGAAATACATCCCACTGACTTTGAGTAGCTAGGCTCCGAAGTAAATGTACTAAGATTGCAGACTCATGTATCTATTCATGATTTCCCAGAACTTTTCTGCATCTTAATTGCTTCCAAGTAATTTTGCAAAAGATTGTAACTTTGCTCCGAGGCAATAAAAAATAAAATATCATTCAAATCTGAAAATTTAATACAGTGATACAATAACTCTTCGGCTTCTATTTTTTAAAAAAAAAAAAAAAATAGGGCAATGTCTGTACCAGTGAGACCTGCTAGAGAAACTGGGAACTGCAGTCCAGAAGATCCAGAGGGATCCTGAGTGAGACACTCCTGGATGAGAATCCAGAGTTCCATTCTCAGCTTAACCTGCACTATGGCTGGCCCCAGGTGAGTTGTTATTTACCAGGCAGAGAGGTGGCAAAGAAGCCATGTCTTCTCACCATTAACAGCTCTTGACACAGCTAAGCAAGAAGAGGGACATTCAACAAGTGGAGCTTGCATAGAAATAGGGTCTTCCTAAGATTCCCTCTTCAACCCAACTCTGGAAAGTGAAGTCATCTTTTTCTGCATTTTAACTGTCTTTCAAACGTAGTTCCTGCATTGTAGAATGGGAGTTTGAGGCCCCTTTCAAGGTGCAAAGGACTTCTCTTTTTTTAAAAAAAAAATGTATACACAGTAAATAAAAACATAGTACATAGAATATCGTTCCTTCTGTTAATTGGCAACTAGCAGCCCTTAGACTCACCGAGGCCTACAATAACCAGTTGGCTCACTGATGTTCATCTAAAGACTAACAATGAGTTCTTTTTCCACTCAAGCCAACTTCCTTCTCACAGTCATCAATTCTCTTGGCCTAAGCTCAGTTAGCTTCAGGAGGAAAAAAGGGAGAACCTGCCAAAACACATACTGTAGGTTGCCTTGCCCCACCCACATGTTTCCTGCAGCAATGCTTCTTCGTCTCTCTGGCTAGTCAGCATACCATTCTGGATCTTTGGGTCTCAGCCAGATACAAGTAGGCTACAGGGCTAAAAGGACAGAGAAAAATGACTTCACTCCTTCCCATCTTTGTTCTGTCCCAGCTTGCTTACTGTGGTTCTATTATTACATTTTGTATCTATGACAGCTCATGCTTTCTCTAATTAGAATTATTGTCATCGTAAAAGACATCATGTTTGTCTTCCATATGACAACAGAGGAACTCACCACCTCATTTCTGTGATCCCCTTCATCCTAAGTCATTATTGTGTTATCATAAAATTCACACATTTTTACTTCTCAGCATGCAAAGAGTTATCTGTTGTAAATGGTTAACAGTCCTGAAAGATAATATACTGTTTTGTTTTTAAACCACATGTACACATAAAGTAACATATTTAAAGAAGTGAGAAGACAAATATGGAAAAATCATTTTCAAAATGTAATGAAAAGAGAATGAATATATTGGAGGAACTTTAATAACTAGAAGTAGGTGAACCAATTTGAATTCAGTTCAACCAGTGTGTAAACCCCAAAACATTATGAAATAATAATAATAATAATAATAATAATAATAATAATAATAATAATAATAATAATAATAGTAATAATAATAGTAATAATAATAATAATAGTAATAATAATAATAATAATAATAATAATGTTAGGCAGAGTATCTGAAACTAATTATGTTATCCTTGGCTTTTTATTTAACTTGGCCTTTTACTTTTTCAAAATACACTGGATTTTTTCCTAATTTTGAAGGTCTAAAGCACTGCATTTTGCAGCACTCTAAAATTTTGTTGGAGTTTCAATGATCTACATTTCTTTACACTCGTGTTCCCAAAACAAAGATGAAAGGCTAAACAAAACTGCACGAGCACTTTTTCTGTCTTGTGATGAGCCTTCTTTCCTGTTTCTAAAGTTTTACCTGAGTCTGGGTCAGTCCAAGTTGTGCAGCCAACTCTGCCCTCTCTGGCAACGCCAGGTACTGCGCCTTTTGGAATCGCCTTTGCAAAGCAGCCAGCTGGTAACTAGAGTAAATTGTGCGGGGCTTTCGGATTTTTTTGGGTTTTCCATTGACCATCCGCACTTCAGGTTCGGGTTCTTCCTTCACTGAAACTGCAAAAGTGAGACAAAAGAAATACGCTGGGAGAAAGAGCCCAAATAGCAGAAAGAAGTGTTGCAGTGACGCTCAAAAAGAAAGTACTGCTGGTTTCTAAACATTTGCTTTGATAAAATAACATCATATGTTCCATCTGCAGAATACAGGCTTTGTTTCAGCAGAGGAATACCAATTCTCAGCCACTGAATTGCTGGATATGACAATGAAAGATAATTTGATTTATATGACAAAAGAACGATCCCTTTAAGAGAAGCAATTTACTACAACTCTCCTATAATTGTACACTTTTGCTCTTTTCAAGGAGACATCTATTGCCTCTATTAATTGCTAACAATATCACACAGAACAATCTGTCCTTCCGATAATTTCAAGGACTTGCTGCCCACCTCCCTATTGTCTGTTTTTTTCTCTGCACTTGTGGAATACAAACAAGATGCTGAAAGAAGCATTCAGCATCTGCCTCTGCCTTATCACTTCTACCGCCACATTCCTATCTAACAAGGACAATTCTCTCTTCTACGAAAAGTCAGACTAAGGATGAAAGAGGGTCTTAAAGGACTGTGCAAAGGATTCTGCAGAAGTGCTGAGCAAATATATTAAAACTAATATATAAATTCAATGGAATTTACTCATATGTAACTCTTATCAAAGGGCAACTGTATGTAGTTTGTATGAAGCTAGTTTGA